CACTGATTAATTGTTCTAACTGTCAGGAAATTTCTCCTCAGTTCTAAGTTGCTTCTCTCCTTGATTAGTCTTCACTCATTGTTTCTTTTCCTGCCCTCAGGTGCCTTGGAGAATAGCTTGACTCCCTCTTCTTTGTGGCAGCCCCTGAAATATTGGAACATTGCTAGCAAACATCAGTCACTGGGTTGGGGACATGAACTGCAAAGAAAACTGCTTTTGAAAAGTTGGCTGGGTTACAGAAAGCTGCAGAGACCTGGTCTCTGCAGGCTTGGGCACTATGTATCTATAGATGTTTTCTTACTTGGAGGTGCTTGTAGTAAAACATCACTGCTAATGAATGTCCTCCTCTCCTAAGATATTTTACTGTGCCCTGTGGCTGCCACCAGCCCAGCCATTGCTAGTCAAAGCCCAGTTGCACTGCTATCCCCTCCCTCCCACTCTTCCACCTGTTAGGACCTACGTGAGACTGGGAGGTGGGAGGTGTCCTGCTGGGCTTCCAGAGTCTTCTTTTCTACTATTAGTGAACCCAGCACTGTCCAGAAATACCACTGACAAGCCCAGCGTCTTAACTACTGAGCCACGGCATCCCTTTTATAAAGACATATAGACACATGGAAAACAACTACTTTGCCCAGGGATCAGATCAAAGTACTGATACATTTGTTTACTTATCTTCTGAACTTTGCTTTATTGCAATTTGGAGTGATTTTACTAGCTTATACGCAGAAATCAGAACAGCTATTTGTGTGTGGTAGTGGTGGCATTACCACTAGAGCCAGATGGCTTTATATAGTGCTAAAATAAATAAAGTAATGTAAATATATTGTTTGTTTTTTGACCATAAGAATTTTCCATAAAGTTAAGTTGGTCTAGACTACGGTTTTTCAATATTACTAACTATAAGATGACTCCAATTCCCAGAATTTCCCAGCTGGCTGGGAAATTTTGGCAGTTGAACTACAACATCTTAAAGTCCAACATATTAAAGTTACTAAGATAAGAAAATCCTGATCTAGAGCCCCCCTAAATTGATGCTCCACAGATGTATTGAATTTACAACTGGCAGAAATCTCAGCTGGGAATTCCAGGCTTTCAAAGGGAGTATACCTGGAAAGCAACTGGTTATGTAAGGAAGTCTGGGAACCCACACACAATGTCCTTCTGAAGCTGTTTTTAACCTTGTTCAGTTTGAGATTTGCTGGCCAATTTGGCATTGCTAGGAGAAATAATTATGCTTGCTCAGCTAACCACTCACTATAAATTCATTTTTAATGATGGAAACTGAATAAAGTTCCAACGTCTTCAATGGAGTCGTAACAGCATAGATCTGTTTTTATCATGTCAGGAAGTTGACGACATGTTTATCTTTATCTTTTCTTGTCTGCTAATGAATCATAGCTATTTTACAATGGAAACTGGACATTATGTCATTTAACAAGTGGATTTCTGCTCAACGTTATTCAGACAAGTTTACCTTGATAACTACAATTGCAGTCTCTACAAATGTAAAGATGTCTGCTTGAAAATACAGGAGCATTTTCTGCATAGCGTGTATTATATTTGTGCATAGTGTGTTGCTGTTATAGAGGTGGGCATTGACTTTCCCCTCCACAAATGCTTTTTATTCTGTTCACCAACCCCTTCCTTTGGCTTCCCTTCAAATTGTACAAATCTTATTATGCCTTGAATAAGTTCTGTTCTTATAATGGGTTGTTTTTGTGCATTATTGTTTTACAAGCCATATTTTGCTCAGTGGGAGCTATAAAGCAGCAGATCCTTAGGCCAGAGTCCCCAACCCCCGGCACCAGTCCATAGCATGCCAGAAACTGGGCCATGCAAACAAATGATGCCCCATCTATGGGATGCAGATAGCACATGAAACCATGCCCCCTCCAGTCCATGGAAAAACCTCTCTCCACGTAACTGGTCTCTGGTACCAGAGGTGGTATTCAGCAGGTTCTGACCAGTTCTGGAGAACTGGTAGTGGAAATTTTTAGTTCGGAGAACCGGTAAATACTACCTCTGACTGTCCCTGTCCCCATCTATTCTCTGCCTCCTGAGTCCCAGCTGATCAGGAGGAAATGGAGATTTTACAGTATTCTTCCCCTGCCACATCCACCAAACCATGCCCATCAAGCCAGGCCCACAGAACCAGTAGTAAAAAAAATTGAATCCCACCACTGGTTTGATCCGCTCGGCCTCCCCAGCCACATGGACAGACTCTAACCTTAAAGAAGCCTGATACTGTATACAATGATAACAACAAGGCACATTGATACCTTTTTATCCTGTTGTGAAGGAGTTGCTTTTTCTTTTATTATTCACAAGGCCATCTTGTTTTTAATTTAAAAAAAGAGTAAAGTATTAACTACAACTACCCCTATTTGACTTGTTAATATATCTCAACTTTTATTTCAGGAGACACTATTAAGGACATCAGGAAGCCAGTTCATGGAAAATCTTGCATTGTAAAGGATACTTTTTACTTCAAAAATGGGACCTTCTACACTCTATCCAAAACTGACAAATTAGCATGAATACTGGCTGAAAAAAAGAAAAAACATTCCACTATGTTGCTATATGAGTGCTTATTGTGATACTAAATCAGAAGCCCTACATGACCTGGATCCAGATTGAATTGTACTCAGAGCCAAGCTATTTAATCCAGCAAAGTCTAAATGAATCATGATTAACATTTCACTGATTTCAATTTCTGTCTTAAGTTTGATCATATGCAGATCCAACTCTGGACCATTGCCTCTGTTCACAATTTCTATTAGACTCTCTGTTATCTGCAACGTTGTCTATACAACAGATTCATTGACATACACGGACACATGTACTGCATACACACAGATATTTTATGCAAAATATAAACAGAGACTCCGGGGGAGGGGGATTCCCCACCATTCAAGCCATAGAAGTAAAAGAGCTGAATACTTTATACTTTATAAAATATACTTTATACTTTCATAAACCAGAGGTAGCCTATTCAGTTTTAGAACTCATAGTTCTATAGGAAAACAGAGGTTTTTTTTTTTAAAAAGAAACATCTATTGCTTCTTATGCCGAATGTATGAAGGAACAAAGAAATGAATAAACAAAAAATAGGCACAGCAGCGCCCCCATAATAAGTTTTTAAGCTGCAGTTTCTATTGTCTTTATGAAACTAAGGAAACATTGTCAGTGTCAGGATAATGTCGGGATTATGTTCTGCAAGTTGACTAGGCAATCATTTACAAAGGAAAGGAAAGAGCTTCAATCATCCAGGCTCCAGTCCCCATCAGAGCCAAAAGAGGGCTGGGGTGGGAGGGTGAAGAAGCCAGGAAAGAAACTGAAGGATTCAAATTGGCAGAACCAGTAGAAGCCACGAGGCTGTTTACATCATTGTTTGTTTATGAATTTGAATAGCCGGTCTCATATCATAGGAATAATTAAGAGTTATTAGGTTGGATATGGTCTTTGATTTCCACTAATTTTACTGTAAAAAGGTAGAATACCACTACGTTGTGAGATGGAAATTAAAAGATTGTAGATGAGCAGGGAACTATTTTCTGTATTTAAAACATGTTTCTTCTTTTAGCATCCAGGCAAATATAATATTCTGCCTTTTTAATATTTCCTAGAACATTTCATTCTTCTGGGAGGGCAGTGGCTTCCCACAATGGAACAGAACAAACTATTATAATGCGCAATTATACCAAATAAATGTAATGAACAAACCATCACTTTATCTCTTCTAATGTACCTGAAAAGTGACTCCTTTTTAATTAAAAGGGAATGAGTTCAGCTTTCATTGGTAAATAGATTGTGTTCATAGCTTTCATAGTCATGGGTTTCTGTTATGACTTGATTGAAAGATGATAGTAACGTGAAATATATTTTAGCATAATTTATTACACAAAGAATGTTGTCCAAGGTGCTGCAGAGGAATAAAGGATGACAATGTCAGTACACAGCTTGATACACTGAGGATGCTTTTTCTGGTGTGGTTAAATCACTGCTTATTCTGTGATTCAGCATGTGTTGGGCTGAAAATGTGTTGTTCCAGTGTTGGTCTTTTCATTGTTCTTTAACTTCAATCATCCAGGGTCCAGTCCACATCAGAGCCAAAAGAGAACTGGGGTGGGTGGGTGAAGAAGCCAGGAAAGAAACTGAAGGATTCGATCTGGCAGAACCAGTAGAAGCCACAAGGCTGTTTACATCATTTCAGGTTCTTTGTTTGTTCATAGATTTGAATAGTCAGCCTCGTATCATAGGAACAATTAAGAGTCACTAGGTTGGATATGGTCTTAGATTTCCACTAATTTTATTGTAAAAAAGGTAGAATGTTTTGTGAGATGGAAATTAAAAGATTGTAGATGAGACCTCAGAGGACTCCTGTACAATGCTGAGAGCAGGTTCAGAGGCAACTGAAAGATGATCTGTAAGCTACTTGAGTTCTACTCTATAAGCCTCAGAGGTCAAGGTGAAAGGCCTAAGCAAGCTGGGGGGTGAACCTTGGGTGAAAGTGGTTTTCAGATCTACCTTTCCCTGCTCTGGGGAAAAAAATGAGACACCCTTTGTTCCGAACTGATGGTCCCCTCTGGATCCCAGCTGCTTCGTTCAAGACAGGGGAACAAAAGCCCTGTTGTTGCCATCACACAAGAATGTGAGAGGAAAACAAACAAATGTTTAAGTTTGCCTCATGGGTGCCCATGTTTTGCAACGTGCACCAAACATGTATCCTTAGCAAAACTGTCCCCACACTTAGCAGATATAATTTACAGGAAATCTGAGAATCTCACACTCAGAAGGTGCTTCCTGAAGCCAAGAAAAATGGCATTGCAGCTATCACCTTATTACCACTGCTGCATATATGCTTGTATTCTTCAGTTTTTCTCACCATCTGATTTGAAAACGTAGCTGATTAGATACATACATAGATAGATAGATGGATGGATGGATGGATGGATTGTTCATTGCAATTTTTTTATATATATAATTGTGCATTATAATAGTTTGTTCTGTTCCATTGTGGGAAGCCACTCTCCTCCCAGGAGAATGAAATGTTCTAGGAAATATTTAAAAGGCAGAATATTATAGTTGCCTAGATGATAAAAGACAAAACATGCTTTAAAGACAGAAAACAATTTCCTGCCTCCAGCAGATATTTGGTGCCCATTAAGAAAGACTAGGCCAGCCTATCTACAAAACTATCTACCTTCAGCTCCAGGATGATGGGATTATCATTTAGGGCAAAGCAATTCAGTCAGAATAGTCAGAATAGATAGATAGGTCTGTCTGTCCGTCCGTCCGTCCGTCCATCCATCCATCCATCCATCCATCCATCCATCCATCCATCTATCTATCTATGTATGTATCTAATCAGCTACATTTTCAAATCAGATGATGAGAAAAATTGAAGAATACAAGCATATATGCAGCAGTGATAATAAGGTGATAGCTGCAATGCCATTTTTCTTGGCTTCAGGAAGCACCTTCTG